AGGAGGTTAATTTGGGTGTGTGAACATTCACTCATGCAATTTGGTACAAATAGGAACAGAACTAACGCCAACGTGTGCTCCACTCAAATGCCAAGTAACACTGAAACGCTTCAATTTGGAACAAGCTACCATCTTGGCAAAGGAAAGCAATAAGTACACGAGTGCCTCCTTACATTTGGAAAGTGTTCTACTATTGACAGTTTAGTGTTCCTAGAATCAGTATAATTAAATATTAAGTGTGCAAGGCAAGCTGTTACCATGTTTCCCCTATTTTCTATAAATTAGTACTAAAATGAGAGGCTTAATTCATTTTCACTTTTTAGCACAACATCTTTGGTGATGGTGTGTACTCCTGACTGGTATCAAGAGGCACACAATACTGGTTTTTCCATTTATAGCAATGTTACCACTGATTTTTAGGTTCAGATAACATCAGTCCAATCTCTCAATAATTTCCCAAACTTTTACCTTAACAAGTTTAGCAGCTATTGATGATACATTGGTTCAGCAAGGAATTATTTAGTTGGTAATTATATGATCCTATTGTTTCCCCTGAATTTATTTTTATTTCTAATTATGTGTCTGTGTGTGGGTATGTGTGTTTGTATGTGGGTATGTGCCCAGGAGTGCAGGTACCTGCAGAAACCAGAGAAAGCATGACTCCCTGGAGCTGAAGTTATATACAACAGATGGTTGTGAGCCACCTGATGCTGGTGTTGAGAACTGAACTAGGGTTCTCTTCAAGAACAATATGTACTCTTAACTGCTGAGTCAACTCTCCAGCCCCTCTCTGGAATTTTTAAGCTGTGGATCTCCTATAAGTAAGAATTTTGTCTCATCAGGTATTAGGTTATCCTGAAATCAATCAAATCCAGATTCTGGGAAGTTATATAGGACAAATAATCCCATTTTCAAAGCAAATAAATGTGACTTTAACGACAAAGAGGAAGGACTATTTAGATTAAAACAGACTTACCGAATTGGCTAGGCAGTTAGGATAAGAAGACCCCAAAGAAAAGTAGCCAGTTTCTTGGCTAAAACTTACAATGTCTTTGGGCCTCTTAGCAACATACTCTGTTCCAAAGGCCAAAAATCAAAAATATTTGGGAGCTTCCATCTAATCCTTTAAGGATTTTAGGGTTACTTCTTCAGAGGGGGAAATGTTAGAGTAGCCAAAGCCCCATAAAAAATAAATCAAAGAAGAAGAAAGAGTACATGAAGTAAAAGTGATGGGGAGATATGGGAGTTGGATGGGAGGGAGTGGGCATGGATTTGGTCAAAACACCTTATATACATGTATAAAATTCTCAATAAATTATTTACTTAAAAAATAAATTAATTAAACAGACTTATCAAACAAGTGCACAAGTGATTCTTAATTTTAGCCTGAAGCAAAATGCAGCTGCTTCTGTATGGGGGTTTTAAGAGCATATTTGAGGGGCTAGAGGTGTAGCTGAATGATAGAGTATATCCTTAGCATGCATTGGGCCCTGACTTCTATCCTCAGTAGTGCAAAAACCAAAATAAAAACAAAATGTTTACTATAATCAGGAAAATTAAAGATTAACTGTGAGACCTGGCTTTGGTAGGCTAAGGCTGAGATCCTAGCAGACAGCCTGAGAGGGTGGGCTCCTACCTCCATCAGAGTAGCGGCTGTGATCACAGCACATCGCTAGAGAGTGCCTGGTTCTGGCCTCCCTCTGGCATAGGGGCTGAGAACGAACGCAGAGGATCCTGCCTTCATGTGATCCTGCCTCCATGTGGTGATAAGAGTTATGCAATTTGGGAATCTTTTAGATAGACCCACTGGGGCCGTACTCGAATTGCCTCACCCTCCGTCCCTGTTCAGCATGGAAGAAGCCAGAGTGGTCTGTGTCCTGATTCCCTATCTGCAAGTTGGGTAACCTCTTCAGAGGATGGTGTGATAAGAATAGGAGGTAGGAATTCACTAGGCAGTTAGGGAAAAAAGACCCCAAAGAAAAGTAGCCAGTTTCTTGGCTAAAATTCACAATGTCTTTAGGCCTCTTAGCAACATATTCAGTTCCAAAGGCAAAAAATGTCAAAAATATTTGGGAGCTTTTATCTAATCTTTAAAAGATTTTAGGGTTACCTCTTCAGATGGGGGAGAATGTTAGAGTAGCCAAAAGCCCCATAAAAATTAATAAATAAATAAAAGAAGAAAAAGTACATGAAAAAAAAAGAAACAGAGAATCTTATTAGAAAAGAAGTATTCTCAAGATTTGTGAACCAATATTTTAGAACCAACTGCTCTTTTCCAACAGAATCTTTACAGAATTATAGATAAGACTACAAATCCTAGATCTAGCTTGTTATTATCTTTCAGTGATTGTATAATGAATTAATACATGTAAATAATTCATATATTATTCCATAATATATGTTAAAATATCTGCTTTAAAAAAAAATAAATAGGGGCTGGAGAGATGGCTCAGCGGTTAAGAACACTGACTGTTTTGCATCCCAGCACCCACATGGCAGCTAACAACTGTCCATAACTCCAGTTCCAGGGGCCTTCTTCTGGCCTCTTCAAGACACTGCATGACAGGGCTGTACTTACATATGAGTGGGCAATATACTCACACACAGAAAAAATTTTTTTAAATGATAATATTTTTAAAGGAAGTCCTTTTGATTGGAGTAAAGAGAGCATTCATCTGTGGGTCTAACAATAAGTCATTAGGCTGACAATTTTATTTTTTTCCGGTATTAATATAAGCCACTAACAGGTGCTGTATGGCAAGAAAATGAACCAGACACAGATCCTGCCCTTGAGTTTACAAAGTAAAGCAGTGGTTCTAGAAAATTCCTGGGGTACTTTAAGAGTACTGATACCAGGGCTAGAGAGATTACTCAGCCGTTAAGAGCACCTCAGCGGTTAAGAACACTGACTGTTTTGCATCCCAGCACCCACATGGCAGCTAACAACTGTCCATAACTCCAGTTCCAGGGGATCCAACAGCCTCCTCTCTCCTCCATGGGCATTGCATGGCACGGGTGCACTTACCTACATGTAGGCAAAATACGCATATACATAAAATAAAAAAAATAATAAATGTTTTTAAAAAATAAGATTAACTACATGTTAGATGTGATATATAGAATTAAGATTGCATATTGGTTGTGGACTTACAGTACAAAGATATATTTTAGATATGCTATAAAAGACTCCAGACTTCAAAAAGGAGGGTTTTAGATAAGACAAAAATAGCACAAAGTTGAAGATAATGGGGTTGGATTCATAGGCACATGGAAGTTTATTCTTTTGTTTTTATTTTTGTTGCTATTTTCTCCATGATAAAATATTTAAAAAATTAGTTCAACAATTTGCTTTGATCCAGAAAGAAGTGAATATAGTTACCATTTTCAATGGTTTATCATTGTGTGAATAAAGATCTTCTACCACTCAATGGAGTGTGTAAAGTTAAGTTTCGATGACAGTTTCCTTCTTTAAAACATCACCTAATGTATTTGGAAGAATATCATAATAGTTCTACAATTGAGAATGATAGTCTTAAAAATCTGGCTCTAAAAATTGAGTATTCTATCCACATAGGACAAAAGTTCATTAGATTACCACCATCACTGTGTCTCAATAGCACACCTTACCCTAATAACATTAGAAGATGACTCAATGCTATGTTTCCACTTCATCATCCAACACAGAAACACAGTTGTCTCCGTAACTGAGACTTTCCTTCTGAGTAGATTAGAATTCTTTCAACAATCAAAGATTTTTATTGAGACCTATTATTGTCTGTACTATAGGTCAAAAACCTAAAGCCTTCAGGCCACCTAGCCACATAGCCACACCCATTTATCATCTAAGGCTGCTTTCCCAGGTGCAGTGGCAGAGCTGAATAGTTGCAACAGAAACCAGATGGCCAGCAAAGCCTCAAATATGTGCCATCTGGCCCTTTACAGAAAGCACAATGCTCACCTCTTGCTTAACTCAAAAGAGAAATTCTGGGCTTTTGATTTTGGAATGTTGACTTATGTCAAGTAGGAAATGGTTTTATACTTCTATAATTTGAATGACAATATATCAGTAATATTTTCTGCTTTGACAAAGCAGAATTAGGGTATAAATCAATGTTCAATAGCATCATTATTATTCTTCTGTGAAAGAAGAAAAAACAGCAGGATGAACACATAAAATGATTTGGGCAATGTTATTTGAACTCTTACAACCCTCTTTTATTGATGAATCTTTTGTGGTCGGTAATTTTCTGACAGCCTCCTAATTTTACCAACATGATCCACCTGAGGGTATATCTACCTAATCTACCTCTTTATGGAAGAGATGCTCATTCTTTCAACAGAAGATGTACTTAGAACAAATTTTGCTTTACCTTTTGAAAGGAAGGAGGACAGATTCAGATTGAACTTGACAATGGAGGTGTAGGCATGTACTCAAAATGTTCATAAAAGGAATCACAGTATGTGTTCTCCCCTGTCAGGAGACCCACAGCCCTCTCCCCTACTGGATTTTACAAACTCACAGCAGGAACCTGAGAGTGAGATCGCAGATCACTTGAAACCCACTCACAGGATTCCTGAAAAGCTGACAAAAGTTCTCTGCTAATGATCCTCATTCTGCAAATCTTGGAGCAGGATATTATTGTAGATCCTAATGTTCAGCTGAATTTTTATCTTATCATTCCATTAAGGCAACACGTTTTTCCTTCCCTAGGAAGGCACCCAAGCTAGGAAACAGCTCTGTTGACAGACTGTTTTCCTAGCACGCATGAGGCTCTGAGGTCAATCCCCAGCACTATATAAACAGGGTGTGGTGGTAGATGCTTGTAATCCCAGCCCTCAGGAGCTGGAAGCAGGAAGATCAGGAGTTCGAGGTCATCCTCAGGTGCAGCAAGTTTGAGGTCAGCCTGGGATACTGAGACCTTGGACCATCCCCCCACCTCACAATAAAGAAGGCATCCTAAATAGCTAACCTTAGAATGAACAAAGGACTCAGACTATACCTTCAAGATATGTTCATTGGATGCCTTATCATCAGGGGACACGTACAAACGGATGAACACAGAATTGCTGTATTGACCTCGGAATGCTGCAAGTGTTTGCAGTAGACTGAATTTTCTCTCTGACCAAACCCCTTCAGGACCAATATTAGCTTCAAGCACAGGCCAGCGGAAAGGTGAATGCCGCAGGATGTGGAGCAGTGGTTTGGCATCTGCTTTTTCAATCGCTTCTGAAAGGGAAGAGATATAAAGGGCAAGTCAGAATTGCAAACTAGAAGTCAGATGTGGTGGTATATGCCTGTGATCCCTGAATTTGGGAGGTGGAGACAGAATAGTCAAGAGTGCTCAGCCACCCTTGGCTGAATGGTGACTTTGAGGCCAGTCTGGGCTTCAGGAGGCTGACTCAAAGCAACAACAAAAATGAGTTACAAACTGGATAACCAAGCTAAAATTCAAGTTTATCTTCTCAAGAGAAAATTCTCATGAAGCCAATTTGAAACTTCAGCTGTTAGGGAGAAGGTGAGAAGGACAGGATGGATTGAGCACAACTATAGCCGCAAAACTGCCTATGACATACTTCAGTGGCTAAATATTCTCTATAATGTTGATGGGCTTACTGCACAGACCCCAGTCAATGAATGAAGTTAAGCTGATGGTACTTAGTGGCACCAAGGAATAACCCTAACTAAACAACATGGCTCAGTTAAGCCAAGGACTCCCCTGAGAATAAGTGTTTTCAGCATGCCAAATAATATCCCCCAATCGTAAACCAGTTAACACACTTTCTAGAAGAACTGGCTTCAATTCGGCAATTGTCTTAAGAAAGCAGAGACAGGTATAGGGAGACTAACCTGAGGCCTTTGCCTCCCACCAAGCAAGGTTGTTATATTGACAAAGCAGCCTAACATTCCTAGGAATTGAAATATCTCTAGGTTCCAGTAGCTTCTATGGTATACAGTTCTCCAAAGTATACTACCTCCAAGTCTCTTTTGCAGACCAGAACTGGCCTGGATAGAGATTCAGCTTTGTGTACCAGATACATACAGTAGGGTTTGCTCTACTGCTCTATCCAAATTTTTGTACAGTAACAGATATCCAAATAGTTCCAGTCACAGAAATAAGATTATTTTCTGAGGGCTGGAGAGATGACTCAATAGTTAAGTCTTGCAGAGGACCCAAGTTAAGTTCCTAGCACCCACATTGGGTGGCTCACAACACGTTGGGATCCAACATCTTCTGACCTCCAAAGGCATCTGCACTCATATGCATAAACATAAACATAAACACACACACTCAATTTTAAAATACAATAAAAAAGGTTTTAAGATGATGATTTTCTCCACCATACCAGTCACAGTAGATTAACTAACACTCATCAAAATCCAACTTTTTATTTCCTTAAGTAACACCTTGGAACATTAATAGAATTTTAGCTCTTTGTTCCTTAACCACACCTTTAAACATTCATAGGATTCTGAAGAATAAGGATCATAAATATTTTATTTATTTTCTTTATTACTTACTCTCATTCATGCAGGATGAGTAAAGGATTTTGGCTTTCTGTATGGCTTCAGTGTCCCGCCTTCTACTGATTGATTTCTCCAAAAGTGCTAGAAAGGTGAAGAAAGGATTCATTAGTATTCACTCACACATGATGCCAAATTGGAGGTCAGTCAATAATCATAGTCTCAGATGCCAGTAAATTAAATATATAAACAGACGACTCTGGAAAACACAGATATATAAAAGAAATGCAGACAGCAGAAGAGATTCCAAGTTGCTTGAGGTCCAAATAAAAGCAATTTAACATTCTCTTATCCAGGGCTCTCCTACTCAGAAGAAACCCAAAGTTCAACTTCTAACTAAGACTGGACTTTCTGCCGGGGTTAATTTCTTCTACCACCTACACAAAAGGAAGCAGAATTCATTTATTCAAGAACCAAAAATAACTGAATTCAGTCTGTTGTTTTTGCACCAAGTAATATTCTCAATGGAGGCAATTTCATCAGGGTCAAATTTCCTGAGATTTCTTCATGGGCCAGCCTCTCGGGGAGGTCACCTGGAAGAAATTTCCCATTAGAAGTTTTATTCAATGTTGCATAAACATGCTGTGGACATGAAAGAAGTTGTTTCGACAGGAAATAAAGAAGTGAGATTGGAAAGCCTATCCGAATTGTCTGAAAATTTGCCCATTCACACATGCAAAGTCCTGGCCATTTAAGTGAGGCCATGTGTGTGCAATGTTTGCCAAATTCACTTGGGAAATGATTTTCTATTTATAAAATCACCAATAAGATTCTTTGAAGGTCAAAAATGGTAGCTGTTACTCTTCTATCAAATAAGGAAAGGAGAAAACCAGGATTCAGTGGAAACAAACTTCTGGGAAAAAAGCACCTTGAATTGATTTGAGGGGATCAATTTACCAACATGAAGCCAAGCTGATAAATCCCTATGGTAACTGCAGCCCCTGTGGCACTGCTTATTCCAAGCATGTGCAACTGCTGTTGTCAGAGCATTCAAGGAAAACACCTAACAGCCTCCAAAATCAGAGTGCAACAGATGTTCCTACAGTTCTCTAAAGAGCATAAAGACACAATGTACAATGCTAATGAAACTGATGAATAATTACATATTCCCAGAAGAACTCACTTCTTCTAAACTAGAAGGTCTACATTACAAAACATGCAACCCAAAGATCTTGTCCATTTTTAAAAGATTTATTTTATTTTTACATGTAAGTGTATATGTGTGTGTGTGCATATGTGTGCAAGTGTTCACAGAAGCCAAAGGAGGGCTTCAGATCCCCTGGAGCTGGAGTTACAAACAGTTGTGAGCCACCAAGTATGGGTGCTGGGAACTGAAGTTGGGTCCTCTGCAAGAACAGCAGGCACTCTTAACCTCTGAGCCATCTTTCCAGCCCACAGCTTTTGTTTTTATAAGCACCTGTACATAAAACAAGTCCATATTACTAGATAGATTCCAGTAACTAAAGTTGATTTGGATGTGGGCTTCTTCAAGTGTTTGTTTGGTGCTTCTTGTGCATTATCATAGCATGGAAACTGGTATAACTTACTCCAGGAATAAAGAACAGAGTTTTGTTTTTTATGTCAACACACAAAAAGTTCTAAATCCATATCCACATATACTTCCATTCAAGCCATCACACACTCTTTTCTTCCATAGTGCTTATGCAGTTATTACAGTCACTGGACTGTTAGGGAGACATATTTGGAAGTAAATAATCCCTATTTCTTTAGATTGTGATGATGCCCTGAAATTATAAACACTCTACAGGCTGCAAACACGAGTGTCCTAAGGACAAAGAGAGGAGCCAGAGGAGCCAAAAGAACTACAAACATCCAATATTTACCTGTGTGTGCTTCCAAGGCATGCTGTAGGCCACAGGCATGTAAAAAGAAGACACACACATGCTAAGCAGTAAAATCCCCAAATTCTAACACTTCACAAAGATCAATAATTTACGTAGGTCAAAATTCTGATTTCTGTACCAAAATTTGGCTTTTCATACAGATTCAGCTATTGGAGGTTCATTGTCACATTTTTTCCCTTCGCTTCTCCCCTTTATCTTTGTATCCAAGCAGGCAGGAGAGAATTGCTATGCAGACAGTGATGTGGCAATCAGCTTGCAGCTCCATCTTATATATCTCTGCATGTGAATTAGTGAAAAAAGGAAAAAGATCAAGCCTGGAGAGTCATTAATAAGCAGCAAACAGCGCCTGCCTATCACAGGCAATTACTCAAGTCATTAAAACATCCCTAAAGTGTGGAGAAGGGCTCACAGGTCACCCATTCAGGACTTTCCAAGCATAGCCAGTGTTATTTAATGGAGGATTTTTTCTATCACTCTTCCCATTTCTTACCATGTTCCATTAGAAAAAGAAAACAATTCATAGTGCAACCAATCTCAAACTTCAAAACTGTTTGGAAAAATTCTTCTCAACAAATCTTAACACTACATATATTACGTATTTTTCTTGTCCTCATTGTGTTCAAATAAAACTGGGTCAACAACAATAACAAAAAAAAACCCTAAGACATCCAGGTATAGTGGCATAAGTTTGCCATTCTAGCCCTAAGGGAGGCAAAGCAGGAGAATTGCTGTGAGTTCCAAACCAGTCTGGATTACAGAGTGAAACACTATCTCAGAAAAGAAATAAAGGAGGCTGGAGACATAGCTCAGCAGTTAAAAGCACTGACTGTTATTCCAGAAGAACCAGGTTCAGTTCCCGGCACACATATGGTAGCTAACAACCATCTGTAACTCCAGTTCCAGAGAATTAAATACCCTCTTCTAGCTGCTACAAGCATTGCACAATACCAGTGCACTTACACTCATGAAGGCAATACACTCATACCCATAAAATAAAAATAAATAAATGGAAAGTGGTATAACTTACTCCAGGAAAAAAGGTGGGCTTTCAAATCACATACACAAGTTTTAGTTTCAGCTCACTGCTACCTCCTAGCTAGAATTTAGGCAAACTATTTATCTCTCAAAGCTGTGGCTTTTTCATCTGTAAATTTGGATAATACTCCATACTTCCCAGGATGCAATAAATATTTTTCAACTTTATTGCACAGAAAACCTCTAGCTCAGAGCCTGGGCACATGACAAAGGCAATCAGTAAGTGGTGCCTGTGGATATCACTCAGTTGCTCCGTTGGTCCAGTGCTTTTCTAGTATGAACAATGCCCTGGATTTGATCCCAGCACTGCATAAACCAGGCATGGTGGCACATGACTGTGATCCCAGCACTCAAGAGATAGAGGGAAGAAGATTAGAAGTTCAAGGTCATCCTCAGCTACATTCTAAGTTTGAGGCCAGGCTGGGCCACATGAGAACTGGTCTCAAAAAAAGTGGTAGTGGACTGAAGAGATGGCTCAGCAGTTAAAAATCCTGGCTACTCTTGCAGAGGACCTGGATTCAATTCCCAGCAGCCACAGGACAGCTAACAACCATGCTTAACTCAAGTTCCAGGGAAATCCAATGCCCCCTTCTGACCTCTGCAAGCTTTGCATGACACAGGTGCACTTACATACAGACATTACACTCAGACACATACAATTAAAAATAAATAAAATATTTTTAATATTTTATTCATTTTTTATTTTATGTGTATGTATGTATTACCTGCATGTGGGTAAGTGCCCCAGTATCATACAATGCCCGTGGAGGACAGAAGAGGCTGTCAGATCTCCTGGAACTGGAGTTATGGACAGTTGTTAGCTGCCGTGTGGGATTCAAACCCAGGTCTTCTGCAAGAACAGTCAGTGTTCTTAACTGCTGAGCCATCTCTCCAGCCCAAATAAAATATTTTTTAAAGTGGTAGTTTATACAGGATGACAAACCAAGTTAACCATATACAAAATTGGACCATCAACCAACGTATAACATACATTCTACAGAAAAATGAACAGATAATAATTTGAAAGGATTCTACAAAATAAACACACTGAAGTAAGCAAAACTATCATCCCAGAAGCCCCATGATTCCTCCAACCATGACAACCAGCATTCACCTTTTTTATTTGTTTGATATTTTTGTTTTTGTAGCTCTGGGTTGAATTCAGGGCCTTGTATATGCTGAGCAAACACTCTATTATTGAGCTTGATCTCCTAGTCCAGCCCAAATGTGAAGTGATTATTCAAGTCTCCATTCTATTTCACCCATTTGAATAACTTACCCTTTTCTTTTGATTTGCAGAGGTTCTTTACATAGTCTACACACATCTTTTTTTGAATATTTGTATTGCAAAATCTTCTATTCCACAGACCTCATTTTCTTACTGGTGATGAACTAAAATTCCATATGTTAATGCAGTTCAATTTGTTCATTTCCTCCTTTATAATTATTATGCTTTGTTATTTAAAAAATTTTTGTCTACCCCAAAAATCATCTAGAATTTTTATTGCTTCACATTTATATCTATAGTCCGTCTAGAATTTCGTTTTGCACATGGTGTGGGCAGCCAAGACTGGCCCCATAAGGGATGAATCATGAGAGGATTTTAATAAACAAAATATTTTGGTGATTGTACTTCAAATAACATTACCAAAGATATTTTGGCATGAAAAATTGGCATTGACAATAGCTATTCTCCATTAGATTGATTACTCTTTTTAAGCAAGGGCTGGGTCACATTCAAGTCTGAAACCCAAGGCCATGACTGATACTTAGCAAATACTATCTGAGTTGAACTCCTGACAAGGAAAAAAAGAGAAATAATTGCCCATCCAAATGCAAAGGAACTGTAGAAAGCTAGGCTGACTACTTTTATCATTTCTTTTCATCTCTTAGGGTTTTTTTCACATTCTAGTTTTTGTATCAACCGAGACTTCATTCATCTGTTTTCATGAATACTAGTTTAATTTTACCAACTGCCTCCGCTTAATCACCCATTTCCTGCTCTTCAGTACTAGAAGGAAAATACTTAGCATTCTAGTTCTTTTCTGCTCAGTAGTCCAAAGACTATCAATCCTACTCCCTGAATTCACTCTTTCTGCTCAGATGGCCTTTATTGAGCACTGTGGAAGATAAGAAGAAAGTTTCAAAGGAAGGAGGAGACTCCTGAGGACTTCACAGTACCGT